ATGTATTTATGGCAGAAAAATGTTTACTTTTTTATATTTACAGTTTTATTCATGTAAATACTGGCTTGGAAGTCCTCACTCCTTTCATCCTCCATTGGCATAAATCCTTTTCAGATGCTGAGTGGCTGTCATCCTCTAAAAATGATAGTTTCATCAGCTCAGAGTTGCCTTAAGCCAGTCTACAGTGACAGATATGAATGAACCTCCTTCCATGAACTTCATTCAGTAGAGTACAAAGAGTGATCTTCGCTATGGGAAGAATTGATTAGGAAAGTTCTTTTGAGCAGGCAAATTTTTTTTGTAGAAAAAAAGTGGTTTTTTTTTTTTTTTTTTTTTTTTTGTAAAAAGCACTCCTACAGAATCATTGTAGCACAAAATGTCTTCCTGCTTGGGCACTCATTTTCCTTCAAAGTAAAGAGAGAATGTGATGTTTTGTGGATGGTGAGTGTCAGTGGCTCAGATCAGGAACCTGCAGTTACTGAAAGGTAGCCAGGATATTTTTTATTCACCTGAGAGACAGTCAAATACAGGGTAAACATATATAGAACAGTCCAGTCTCCTGACTGAGGAACAAATATGCTGGGACACAAATCTATACCTTTGAGAACTCAAATCCAGGCACCCGAAGTCTTTTAAGGAAACAATGACCATCATAAAGAGTTAGGATGCTTCCAGGACTAAGCAGCATCTATCATCAAATATTCAGAATTTTAATCTGGGGTAGTTGTGGCACAATTTTTGCCTTTTTTACCAGATAAGTCTTTTCCTTCTTATTTGGATTTGGTCCATTGTCTTTGAATAARCTTTATACCTAGTTTTAAAAGAGCACGTTAAGTTGCTTTGTGAGGTTATATTAGAGCAGATCTTAATAAATCCTGTTTATCATTCCTTCGGCATTGATATTGTCCTTGGCAAATGGCCTCACTCAGTGATGCAGAAAAGCGCGTATGTTAATATTCTGCTAACGTGCAGTTGGGACCCTTAATGATTCAGGTTTTTGTATAATAGACTCAGAGCACCTAGAGGAAATAAACAAGATCATTACAAAAACCTCAGTATTCTCTCCACCTTAAAATGTTTGTGCTTCGAAGACGATATTGCCTATTAGAGCCTCTGAAACACCCACTGAAAGCTACTGTAGCAATTTTGGTATTTGCATCTGAGTAGCCTCTAGCTATTCTAATAATTCCACCTACATAAAAAAGGGATGAAGGTCAGGAAAAAAAAAAAAAAAGGGCAAAATGGAATTAGAAGATAGGCAAAATTAGAAGACAAAGAGGTTACATTAAGCACAGCCAGGATTACAGAGCATTCATAGGTCAGGGTTAATATCCACCGTCTACGCTCTAGACTCAGGGAGTACTGCAGATGATGGATTAGGTCCTTCAGTGTATTGAAAGAGCAAGAAAATATTCATAATATTTATACCAAACATCCAATTTCTCTATGCCTAATTGGTCTAATAGAAATTTAAAAACAAAGGAATTCTGGGAGAGAAAATGTATAAAAATAAGTGGCATATCGTTTTGAAGTTTCTTTACATAATAAACACTCTCTATCATAAAGATAGTATTTCATAGAAAGTATTGCATTTTATTAATTTCTGTAACTGATTTATTAGTTGCACTGAATGTTCTTTGTTCAGGGCATAAAGTACTGATAGATCCTATATATACGCCCGATAGAGAAAATGCATAATGCATGCCATTCATATATGATCTGAAGAAATCAACAAATGGGATAAACCCAGGCTACCCAGATATCTAAAGAAGTCTAGTGAGCACCACTGATGTCAATTTTTCTCAGGAGAGCAGAACAGGAAAAAAAAAAAAATTGTGCGATGAAAAGCTGGGCAGGTGTTTCCAGGTAGTATCAAACCAATACATTTAACATCCAAATGAATTTGGTAGCAGGTTTAAAATGTTATTATAAACAAGCCTGTAAGTAGTAACAACAGCTCAGCTACAAACACACTCTGCATTTGATCTCTCAGCAGGGAACACTTTGTTTTCAGTCTGGCATGAGTCTCCTGCACAAAACCCTTATTCTGATGTTAGTCATAGAACCATAAAATTATCCCGTAAAAATGGCTTTACAGGCATAATTATCATGTAATAAAACATGTGGGGCAAAACAAAGAATTAAAAAGCTTTAATAAGATTATGCAGCAAGACTATTAAAAAGGCGTGGAAGTATTTCCTCTTAGCAGATAAAACAAAAGAAACAAAGAAGAAGGATTCCTGTAAAATCTTTGAGTAGGATTGTCTTCCATTAATAAAGACCTTCCCTGGTTAGGAATCACAAAGATTCTCATCTTTGTGAATGCACTGTGAAAATTATACAGTTTTCAAAAATCAAAAATAATAGAAATATACAATATATAACATAAAAGTAGTGCATTCAAAAAAAAAAGCAGAAATCCTTATTGTGTTTTGTATTTTTTTAAATATTTTATACATATTTGCCTGGCCAGCACATTTCATTTTGGTATTTTTATATACTTTATAAGATATGCTATTTTTTTTTGTTCTATAACAAAAAGTAAAATGAATATAGTGTTTCTTTAACTTAATCTTCTAGTTTGATACAATACATCAAATTTAAATTACCTCTGTAGCTAATACTTGGCAGGAAATTGATTCACTGAGCTATAAATTTCAATATGTTTCTTGCAGGTAAGGAAATATATAAAAATAAATCACATTTCAGTCAGGCACATTGCATTTATGGTATGTTACCAGCAACAGTCAAAAGAATCACAAGTCTATAGCATTTAATGTTTGAAACTCTTTATATGCAGCTATATTTTCATAACTTTTCATCAGAAAAAAATTAATAATCTAATGCACTGTTAGGGATAAGAACTCAGAATTATGTTCTTCTCAGAACTTCTCAGAATCTCAAGTTGTCCTGAGATTTTCTTCTCTCAAAAAAAAATTTCAGTTTCATGAACAAAAAAATAAAGTACAGTACTCACAGTACTGTAACTTTTTTAACTTCCATTCTTACTGTAATGTATGTGGCAACATACTCTATTTTATTAATACTAGAATATTCAAAGGATTTATATAGGACTCCAAGACCTTATTTATGATGGACTTGCTATGGTTTTCACATGAAATGTATACACAACATGGAAGATGCAAGGAGTTGGGAAGCAGTATTTATGCACATGTGCATATCTCCTTTACTAGTAATATGTTGGAACCAAACCTTGGCAGCTTCAGTCATACAGAATCATGATCATTCACAGAAATGTGGAAAATCAGTGAAGTCAAATCGTAGTAAGGAGAAGAAACATGGAGTGTTATTTAGTGATGATGTAGTTTCCACATAATAAATGTTTCCTTAAAAAACAGTGTTGGTGTCTTTTACGTCTCTTCCTCTATCACTTAGCAGAGTGATTTGTTCAGTTTGGCACTTCTGTTATTGGCAGGAAAAGTTCCCCCATGAAAGCAGGGAGAAAAGAAAATCATGCAGCCTCTGTAAGTGGAAAGCTGTATTATGAGAAAAGAAGAAAGTTGAATTTTTCACCTAAACACCATAATTGGTATTTCAAAGATAAGTAGGCTCTGACATTAGGGGAAATCTATAGATTTCCTATTTCAAAACTTTGGATTCAGATTTTAAGGAAAATGAGACAGAATAGAAAAGGAGTGGAAGGAAGATTACACATTCCAGAGCATCTAGGGAGATTATTTCCCACCTTTGAAGAGGTAGTGCAAGAAAAAAAAACAGAATTACAGTGTTTTTAAACACCTATTTTTATTGTCAATTGGGCAATGAAATTCTCAGCAAATACCCAATGTAGACTATTAAAAAAAAAAAAAAAAAAGCCATAATCATTACCACTCAACTACAGTTATCCAGTTATCCAGGCAAAGATTTCTCCTACTATACTGACACTTGCGATTTAACAGACATAGCTAATGCATTCATAGATACTGTCTGACAGCACAACTTTCTAGATTCCCCAGAACATTGCTCTACCTGCTCTACCACAATGCATAGACATTCGAAAACAGGGACACTGCTGAAATATTATTGCTACATTAACAAAGAGGGTGCAGAACCAGGAAAAAACTTTCCCGCAAAATCCTACTAAAAATTCTACTAAAAATAATGGAGCACTAGAAGAAAACAATGGAGATTTAGGGCAGTGCCTCAGCAAAACTCTTGTAAGACATAAACAGAGGATAAAACAGATAACTTGAGAACAGGTCCACTATATTAATATGTGATTTGGATTCCTAAAAATTGTGAAAGATGAAACTATTTAACTGAATAAATTATGGCACATTTTTGTTCATCTTTGTAACAGTTGGGAGCATCATAAAATTGTTGGGAGCAGAGGTGAGGAAAGAAAGGATGCCATGATACCTCTTGCTCTAACTCAAGCATGGTGACAAAAATTTCCCTATACCAAATCACAAAGTATAATCGGAATTAGATATTTTTCTTACAAACCTAAAGGCATATGATACATGAAAGAAAATCTTGGCTTATGCTCTTAAAAAAAATCAGCTGTGAATGCCAATGAACTGGCATTAAACACCCATTGAGCTTTGCAGCTCTCTAATTTGACCTTTGTATTCCAGATATTGTAACTGTAATACATCAGAAAAAGTTATACCGAATTTATTGCAAGCATCTTTTTCCCCTTTTTAGCAGTTCAGATGATTTGTAATGATTTAGCTTACTCTGTGGCTTCCACAATTTTCATTACAACAGAACTGGGGAACTATGACTGCATGCAGAGCTGGCCTGAGCCAAAACAACATCAGGGACCCAGTGTCTGCAAGGTATATTGTACAGGAGGTCTGTAACCATTCCTCTAAAGAATCCCAAGGACAGCACATTGCATGTAGAGAGACAGCTTTGCTATGAGAGCTGCAGCCCAGGGAGATATGAGATATATGCATGGCAAGAAATCAAGAGAAAAGAGAGTGAAAGAATATGGTTTGTAAAAACAACTTGACTGGGCAAGTAAGTCCTATTACCTGCACTGCGCGACTGTTGTCACCATGGCTCCACAGGGAGCATGTCCATTCCTCATTAACACTGTATCGCACCTCAGGACACGCAAGTATTACAGCAAATACTCTATCACTGGGTAGCAGTCTGCTTTCTGGCACATCTCAAACGTGTGGATAAATACTCAAGACTACATATGCTGCTTTCCATTACCCTACACCTAAGTTTTTTTTCAAAGCATCTGCGCACAGACTTGAATTTGCTTGCTTGGGCTTGTGGTGGGCTTGCTCTCACTTACACGTATTTGCGTTTGAAGTAGGTGAGTGTGCTCTTATTTGGGCTCCACGCAGAGCGGGACGCCGAGCGAGGCAGTGGGGTGTATGCGGAGTGGGATGCTACGCGGGGCAGGGTGGCATACGCCGAGGGCGAGGTGGAGCGGGGCAGGGTGCCATAGGCAGAGCGGGAGAAGACGTTGTTGTAGGAGGAGCGGGAGAGGGTATTGTAGGCACCGCGGGAGAGGGCGCTGTAGGACGTGCGGGGCAGGGGGGTGAGGGCAGAGCGCACCACGGTGCCCCATGCTGCGCGTGAGGCGGGGGCCCAGGTGGAGTGCGAAGCCGAGCGCGAGGCGGCGTTGGATGAGGGACCCCACTGCAGGCCGCAGAGGGAGCGGGACGCTGGGGCGCACAAGGCCCGCGAGGCAGGGCGAGATGCCGGTGTGCACACAGAGCGGGCCGTGGCGGCCCCCACAGCACGCAGCGTCGGGGGGCACACGAAGCAGCTTGATGTCGACATGTCCTCCAGGCGCGAGGCTGGAGAGCCAGCTGCTGCGGCCGTCACGGAGAAGGTGGATGGGGTGCACAGCGAGTGGGCTGCTGGGGGTCCCACRGGGCGAGGAGCTGTATGGGACACTGTGTTGGCCAGGTGTAGCACTGAGGCAGAGCTCTGCGCCACAAGGGGCACAGGGGATGCGCCTGCACATGGCCCTGGGGAGCACACGGTGCGGGCGACAGGGCCACCCACATTGGGTTGAGGTGGAAGGGTGACCATGGAGCTGCACATGGGCTGAGATGTTGGAGAGGGTGCAGGGCCACAGATGTGGGAGAGTGAGGCAGCAGAAACACTGCCGGCAAGAGCTGCTGGCGGTGGCACAGAGTGGGGTGCTGGAGAGCACATGGGGTGCGATGGCGAGGCAGACACATGGGTAGGGACTGCATGGGGTGCGGAGCTGGGGCTGGAGCCAGCCATGAAGTGATTCAGCAGGGCATTCACAGCATTGCCGGCTGGGACGGACACAGAGTAAGACATTGGCCCCCCTCCAGGCTGGGGTGCAGACCCAGGCCCTGACTCAAATATCACTTGAGGCATTGAGGTGCACACAGGGTTGGATGCTGGGATGGGCACAGAGCCATACATGGTGGCAGGCACTGGTACACAGGTGGGGGCGGGCATGGTCTCATATATAACACGGAAGCCAGGATCACAGCCAGCATCTAAACCAAGAGCAACACTCGGATTGAAGCCTGGGCTGCAAATGGAGTTGCATAAGGGGTGGCCTGCAGGGAGGTACACAAAGTCATACACAGGTGGTCCCCCCGCATTGGCGCTGGGGTTGCACACCGGGATACATACATACTCGCACATGGACCCAGGGTCCCCTGCAGGGACGGAGGCAGAGCTGTTGGCTGGCAGGGAGCCATTTTCACAAACATGGAGTGATCCGTTCTGGTTCAGGGGCAACGTGCCGTTCTGGCCCACTGGGTTACACACCTCAGTACTGGCACATCCCTTGCAGTAGGCAAACTTGTGGCATCCAAAGTTGGCCAGGAGCCGATGTTTACCAAGCCTGTAAGGTGTAAACTCCACCACAGTTCGTGCCTGTTGATTGGCAGCCAGTGTTCCTAAACTGAGGGAACAGAAAAAAAAAAACTTGATCAAGATATTCTCTGGGAATAACAGTTCCTTTAATTCTTCAAAAATGTAGGACACTTACTTAACTCGGAAATACATTTACTGTTTCCCACTTTCAGTGGTCTAAGTTTTATTGGGGAGTTTTGTGGCCTTAAACTCATTATCATTCAGATGAACAGCTCCTAATTATTTCCCCTCAAAACTAGTCCAACTTCTGTGCTGAAGGTTAGCAATGCACATTAATGACCAGCTAGCATGTTGTTGCATCCTATAAGTTTTCAGTTTCCCGTGATTAGCATGTTATGAGTTTAGAATGTACACTTATTTCTCACTGTCTTTTTCTAATTGTTCATGTATCCATTCACAGATATCTGTATCTAGAGGAATTTATAGGAAACTCAGTAGGATTATAATGATTGAGGTTCCCAGCTAGAATTTCTTGTGAAGAAAACTGTGCATGTCTCTTCAGACAGAAATTTGGAAAAAACAAAACATATCTTTAGAAAAATGAAGAAACGGCATGTCTTGCCAGCTGTAAATGCTCTATCAGTTTCAAGAGAGTGAGACTTGCAAAGGAATTTCAAAGTATTGAGGAGTACAAAGTCCTGTTTAGATGCTCAGAACCAAAATTACTTAAAATGTCAGCTTCTCAAAACCTACTCTGGCATAACAGCCTTTAATCAGCCTCAAATATTATTCCCATCTATGTAATCATTGAACTTACTCAATGGTCATTGGTTCTTTGAATAAACCACAGCCTTCTAAAGTCATTATGCAGTTCTTCATATCTTCCTGGAGAGGATTGCAGAAGGAGATCTCTGCAGTGCATGGAACTTTCAGCCTGGGTTGGCTTAATAGCTAGTCAAAAATATTTATATATATTATTTCTTTTGGCTATCACAATTAGCACTTAAGTAAATTAATGAAAAGAGAGAGGTTATTCATATTCATGGCTCTCTTTGACAATTTCTGTAGGTCAAAGTCAATTGCTGTATATTCAGAATCACACTGATCTCATAAAAGAGTTGCACATTTTCTGCAGCTAGACACTGTGCAGTAAGAGTACAAGTCCATTTCTAGACCATAAGGTCTATGTCTGTAGTTTCTTACCTTCACAATAACAGGAGGCCTGTTGACCACAATATCCCTGCTCACCATCAGAACATCTCCACACTCCGGATCTGAGACTGCAACTACTTTCATAATGTTGTGATCATAGAGATGAGGTCCATATTGATTATATGATATACAGATTGGAATTTTTTTCACTGTAAAGCAAGTTATAATTGTTATTCTGATGTTTTGGGTTGATATTACCCCTCTTTCTTCCCCTAAAGGCTTAACTGGTCCTTACAATGCACTAGCCTTCAAAATTCTCATAACATGTTTGAGAACAGATATAATGTTTCCCAGCTTAGATGATACATCCCAAACTTCTCACTTTTCAGCGACTACACCTATAGGAGCAAATTTAGCAGAAAGGTCATTTTTACTTAAACTTGTGAAGCTTTCATTTTACTGTAATTCTCAAAGTAGTAATCCAAATAAAGGTGAAACAAAAATGTGGTAAAACACATGGTAAAACAGAATGTGAACAACAAATAAGAAATTTCTTCTTAGCAGTGATATGATTTATGTAAAAGGATTTTTTTTCCTTCAAGAATCTGAAACATTTTGAAATCATGAAAATGATTAATTTGCTCTGCTTATCATATTGTATATCTGAAAATAATAACCTTAGTAGTCAAAACAAGTGTTTTACACAGGCTACTATCTTCTGATAGTAGAAAGGAAATAAGTTGCTTTTCTGGCAAATAGATCTAACATCCTTTCTATTCAATACTAAATTCTTAGTGGAGATTTAAGCAGAAATAAATTTCCATATGATTGCTTCCCATCAATAATAAGGGGTTCCCACTAACCCTGCTCCTAAAAAAAAAAATCATCTCCTGAAAAGGGAACCAAAATGCATTATATAAATCCACCTTTCTTACCTTCCCTTGGGCCCAAAGTGATATTCACTTTGTCTTTCCAAAATTGATCCATTGGGCAACCATGGTATGTTATTATTTGTGCACACAAATTAAAATTTAGATTTTTAGGTTCGTTACGCAAATTTTCAAGCAGCCAGTGCAGCTGGACATCTTCACCATACATAGGACAGTTAGCCATCTTTAGCCTCATGTTAACACCAGAGTCACTCAGGAATGGGCTACAGAGAGATGATAGCTCTCGATCTATATGGCAGTTGGAAGCATTACAATACCCTGGGTGAATTCTTCTGTATGCCCTGTAATAGGCCTCCTTGCTTTTTAGGGAACCTGTTAAGGAAGATGTAAGATAAATGAGTAAAGATGTAAAGATAATTAACATAAGCAGTCACATCTACCTAAATAGTGAACATAATTTCTTCCTTCCTCCTCCTTCCTGAAACCCAACCTAGTGGCTTCATGTAAAACAAATCTTCCAAATAATAGAACCACAAGACACAGTAGTCTGAAAGTTCTTGAAAATTTCTTGAAAATAAAATATAAGATAATAACATGTATTTTATTTGCATTAGTTAAATTTCAGAATGGGAATGTAAAACTCCAAATGTATAGTTAGTATAAAATTCAAAATATAGGGCTAGAGCAAATAGGAAATGCTATCATGTCTCTCAGAAGGCAAAATGAATCATTCACATCAAGATATTCATTGTGTGTTTTTGTTTTTCTAGAGAAAATAGAACTTGCACTTTTATAGCTCTGATCCATTCTACACTTTTCTAGGCAATTTTCCTGGTTAAACTCCTTCCTATGGCAGAAAGTTAAAAAGCAGTACTCAGCACCCCAGAAATGATAACAGCAGGATGTCCCTTAATACAATAATTTAGTATGTGAGTATATTTCCTGACAGATCTGGAACAGTACACAAAGGAGAAGAGTTAATCCTGAGTTTAAGGTTTTTAGATTATCTAAGATTTTTAAAGTACTTTAACTACTAGTACATAAGGGAGACCAAAATAGGAATAGGGTCAGTAAATGGAAATAATAAGCAGGCTGCTTGTTCTATTTGATTCAAATAAATATGCTTAGAAGGTTAAATATCATTTCTGTTTGAACTCAAAAACACATTCCCCTTCCTCAAAACAGGCAACTTTAG